TCAGAAGAGTGCGGACACATCACAGTTAGCATTCTCACCCCGTCCATCGTGCCATCCCTCTCTTTTTTCTTTTTATCCTGCGTGTCTCCGACAGTCTGTCTGTCACCTTCTTCTTTTCTTAATCAACAATTCATCAGAATGTCCTTAGATTCCAATATTACTTTGTTCATCAACAATCAAACTGAATCTTAATTAAAGTAGTTAGTGATGAAAATGTTAGGGAGTAATACACTTTTTTTTTTTTTTAGTAAATTAATTTAAACTTAAAGCAAAAATAAGTGGTCATTTAGGGCAGAATCACTCAAGTTTCAATGAAAAATCTTACGAAAGGACGAAAAAAATCTATAAATCTTTCTAGGAAAATGACTCTGCTTTAAAGGCTGTGATTTTTGTTGCAGTTTAACACGTCAACTTTAATTTCTTATTGCTGATTTTTTCTCTAAAAAAAGCCAAATAAAACATAAAAAGAAAAATAGTATTTCTTTTACAAACTAGATAAGATACGTTGTTTTTCTTGTTTTTAAAGGGTAACACAGAGAAATATTTATGCTGATTTATGTAATTCTTGACTTTTCGTTTTGAATCTTTTTTTATTTTAAATGTAACAAATTTCAAGGTTAATTTAATAAACACCCAATGCAGATAAAACCTCAACTTATTTTTGCAGGTACTGTCTTTAGGAGGTTTATGTGCAAATTTTTACCTTTTACATTTATAATAAAATGCAATAATTTATTTGCATTATTTTACTAAAAATTTAATTTATTTCATGAAGATTTATGTTATGTAAATGAAAACATAATGTTATGTGTTTTACGTCAAGGTTTGCAGCAGCACAATGCAAACAATCTGTAATCGTTGTAATGTGTCTTTTAATTTGATAATAATTTTGTCTATTAAAGCCATTAATATTAATTTATAAAGCACTCAATTTTATTATTAATTTACCTGTTGATACAGACTAACATTAAACCTGCCTTCTGTTTTGTGCTCATAAATAAATAGCTGTGACAGATGTTTTTTAATCAAGAGCTATTTATACAATTTGTCGTTAAAGCTCAAATTATTTTCCATAACTTAGGTCCAAATTCGTTCAAGGATATTTTCGAAAGACTAAAGTAATAAAATGAGTTTGGTAAATATTGTTAGAATTATAGTAAATGATTATTATCATTATTTTCGTTTCCTGAGGGTGATAAAAAGGAGGCTGGTCTTGCAGATGTGTCCGGACCGGACGGGCCGGGCCGACTGGGCCCATGATGGGTGGCTTTGGGTTCTGACTCTCTGCTCCCTTTAATAAACGGAGGGACGACAGTTTGCCTTCCTAAGATTTGGGATTAGGAGCATTTCTGCTGAAAGAGGAGTTAAGTCGGGCTGCTGTGGACGCTCCCCTGCAAAAGGCTGAGACAGAATTACAGCTTGTTGGACCGGTGTCCCGCCGTCGCCATGGAGACGGATCGACTTGGGTGTTCCAGTGCGCGGGCTGCAGCGCAGAGGTGCGGCAGCACCCTGCGTGTTACTTCCTGAAATCCCTTCACCTGGTTCATTAGATCAACCCAAACCCTCGAGTGTAACAATCGAAAAGTCATTTTGGACTAATCGGATGACTGATGACCAAACTGCATGCGCGTTTCCAGATCTGACCGTGCTGCCGAGTTATCCTATAATAACAACAATTATAAGATGCATCAAACATGATTTGTTTCCTATTTTTCTTTTTTAATTGGCCTATGAGTAAAAAAAGAAGCCTTCTTGAGCTGACGCCCATGGGTGGATGAGTTTGTGGCTGACGGGATACTGAGTCATCCTCCAAAAACAGAGGCCCAAACTCGCCTGGGCATTAAAATGGCTCACTTCCTACGACTGCTACAATTAGAGGCTATTTAAAGACATAAATGGAGAAAAAGGACAATTTATTGTTGCAACACAGTTTTCTTTAAAAATGTTAACGGGGAATTCCGCCAGAAACGCAACAGATTTTATCCAATCAAAGTTTTGTCTGTAGGTCTGAATGCCAAGGATGCGCGTGCATTGTGTCCCTGAGAAAAGAGCCCTGACTTCCATGCAGGCCCCTAATCAACAAATATGCTAATTCGGCCTGAGGAGATGCAGAAAAATCAGGTTAGCGGACCTCAAAAAGGAGCGAGAAGCGCACGAACATCTTTTCTTTCTGTTGCTATAACAACGCACGCGCTCGTGAATGATGGCTCAGGTCAGGAGCGTCTGCAGAGGAATCCTCCAAAAAGGCTTTTGAGGAAAGTTGGGATGCGCCGTGGCCTCAGACTGAGGCTGGTTCCCTTTGGAGCGACTATCCAAAACATCATCGCAGAATTCTGATGCACTAGAAAATACACCCGTTAATTATTATTATTATTATTATTATTATTATTATTATTATTATTATTATTATTATTATTATTATTATTATTATTATTCGTTGTAAAACTTGCTGAAAGTCTTGCCAAGGACACAACTTTTACGCAGCCTTTGAAAAATATATCTATACAAGCAAAACTCCATTATTTACTAATAAAATATGGCCTTGATAAATTAATAAATAAATAAAAATCAGATAAATCGATCCCCAGAAGTGCGTCATGAAAGCAGAAGTGGGGTTTGGGGTCTGCGGAAAGGCGCGCTCTCCTGCCATATGTGAAGCAACAAATCAATCAGGCGCACAATGAGGAGGGGGAGACGAATGCAGCAGCACTTCTTGCGCACATTGAGCCGCATCTGTCTCAGAATGAGTGCAGACATCCGGCTGGAGACTGTCCCCACCTTTGGAACAGCATCCAGTTTCCAAAGTGAAGCTATAGTTAGTGCTCTTCTAAAATAAAATGAATATCCGCTGCTTCTCTTGCAACGCCAAGATCACACAACCTGCAGATCCTCTCAGCTTTGCGCCACCCTGTCGCGAAATCCAATACATCTGCTTTCCCATGAATTCGGGATATCAGCCTCAGCCCCCCACCCGCACCCCTCCTTCATGCACCGTGAATTCCCTTTAAATCAGTACCCCCTCCAGGGAGGACTAAGACAAAAAAAGCGTGCGCACAAGTTTAAGAAACGGAGCATTTTGTTAGAATCAAAGCTTCATACCTGTGCAAAATAGCCGGTGCGTGTTGTTGGCAAGCCTCACAGAAGCTCATTGTAGGAGCTTGCCTTCTGCCTTCTGCAAAGGGCTCCAGACATCAGAGCATTTATTTGAGCTCAAACTCTGTCACTGTTGACTTTAGCACAAAGCAAAGATTTCACTGCCACGCTAGTTAAAAAAAAAAAATGATTATTTTACACAGATATCGATCAGTGCGCTATAAAAAAAAGAAATCAGCTTAGCATTATATGTGTAAAATGAATGGAACCAAACTTAATGTCTGTGTAAATTTACAGAGCTGCGGCGTCCTATTCAAAGTTTACACTTGTGCAATTTGGTTTGTGTGTGTACTCTTCCTATATGTGGGCACAGCCTCCACTCCATTGTTTACTGGCTTTGTTTATTCGCAGATCACGCTGTTTAAAGTGCGATCTGCAAAGAGGGTCTGGAGAATAAACGCACACTTTTGGCCCTACGTGTTCAGAAGTCGAAGGGGGTGGGGGGGTCGTTTGGTTGGACTGGGAGGGATGACAACCAGACTGTCTTATCTAACAAGAAGGGAGGGTCCGGCTACTTTAAAAGTAGGGAGCAGACAATGGAGCCCCCACATTGTGAGGAGAAGAAGTTAGAGCATCACATTGAGAGAAACTCTGTTCCCAAATCAGCCTCCTTTCCATCAACTATTCTCCTGCGCAGCGGGAGGCTGTTTTATGGGACAATCATCTCATTCACTGATCTAAACTCTGCAGGGTGCGTGTTTTAGGGGTAAAACACGGAGAAATGTTGTGTGTGTGTGTGTGTGTGTGGATGAGCAGGCGCGCATGAGGTTTGGTTCATTTGTTGTTATCATCTTACCAACTTTAAAACCCTTTTGCAGAAGCGGGTGCAAATTTCATGCAATATATTTATACTGCGTTCTGCATGATGAAGGTTTATTTATTTTATTTTGGTCTGTATCCTATTTTTTTTTCCTGTTCATTCTCATAGTTTTATTGCGCTTTGCACTTTAAATCCAAAATATAACAAAAAAATAACTAAATTAAATGTTATAAAAGGTGCAGATTAACGTGCTCCCCTCTTCTATCAAAATCTCCATTTTTGTTTGGGATTAATGAGCATATATTAGTTTTGTCTGCTTTCCCTGAGAGACAAAATAGGAACATTGTTCTCTGTTTTATCCAGCAAAGCTATTAATCCCCCTCCTGAAAGTCTGGGCCTTAATAGGAAAACACGTGAGTGGGAATGAAATCTATAATTTAGGAGAAAAAAAAAGACTGTTTACACTTATTTTTGTCCCCTATAATTAAACAAATTTCCAACAAGTTAAAACGAATTCATTCATATTTCGTCAACAGTTTACATTTTTAATATTGTTATTCAAATACATTTATTTTCTTCTGTTGTTTTGAAATAATAAAAATGTGCAGTTATGGCAGCTCAGACTTCATTCTTGTGGTGGAATTAATAATAATAATATAATAATAATAATAATAATAATAAAACGACTTGATTTTCAAAAAACAAAACCAATAACACTTTAATATAGATTCTGTTCTTGTCACTACAAGAAATACACATATACAAGCCATAAATAGGAATTACACAAATGATTGAACAAATCCTGTGAAGCGTTTAAAGTCATTTAGGAATCCCGGTGTGCGGAAGTGAGCTATCTTACAGAGAGCGTGTCTTTGGGGTCCATTCCTCGCCACATTATTGTTATTATTATTGTTGTTATTATTTATTGTTTTATCATCAACAGCCTCTCTCAAAATAATTAGGCAACTAACAAACTTGACAACTAAAACGGTGGGAAACGTCCAAAATATCATTTTGTACACAAAGTCTATGTTTTTTTTTGTTTGTTTGTTTGTTTGTTTCATGTGTTTGCTTTTCTTTTCTTTTCTTTTTTTCTTCTTCTTTTTTTTTATACAAATATACAAACAAGAAGAAAGTCCACATTATAAGTTTATGAGGAGTTCATGATTGGTCTTGAATAGACGCCTTGGTAGTAGGACGTGTCGGGTATAGACGCAGAATCCAGACCCGCTTTTCCCGCCATGGAGCCCATAGAAAGCGCCCCGGCCATCGGGGAGCCGTATCCAGAGTAGTGCATCACCTGCTCGTAAGTCTTTAAGTCCATTTTGTGGTGCTGCTGCTCGGAGGACATGAGGTTGTTGATGGAGAACGGGTGGTTGAACGAGTAGTGGTGCTCCGGCTTCAGGTGCGCGTCGTGCGTCAGGACCGAGTGGTGCTGCGACATGAGGTGCTGCCCCTGCGACACCGGGGAGGTGGCGGTGTGCTCCGGGCTCAGGGCCTGGCCCGCCTTCATGTCCGACATGGACCGCTTGTGGTCCGCGGAGGAGGAGTTGGAGTGCGGGGACTCGTTGCCGTTGCAGCTCTCCGAGCTGGAGTTGGACGAGCCGCCGTCCGCGCCCTTGCGCGCGCCGTCCTTCAGCGTCACCTTCTTCTCGCACTTGAAGCGCTTCTGCCGCCTCAGGTAGCAGCCGTTCTCGAACATGTTCCCGGAGTCCGGGTGGAGAGTCCAAAACGAGCCCTTACCGGGTTTATCCGGCGACCGGGGCACTTTGAGGAAACAGTCATTAAACGACAGAGAGTGGCGGATGGAGTTCTGCCAGCGCTGCTGGTTCTGTCGGTAAAAGGGGAACAGGTCCATTATCCACTGGTAGATCTCGGCCAGCGTCAGCATCTTACTGGGAGACTGCTGGATGGCCATGGTGATGAGGGAAATGTAGGAATACGGAGGCTTGGCGTGCGTGTAGCTCCTGCGGTAAGTCTTGGGGTCTCTGGATCTGTTGATGTTGGACTGTCCGTAAATGGGGCTCATGGCGTTCATGTTGGTGTAGGACGTGAGGGCGTTCATGGACGCTGGCTGCGCCGTCATGGGGCTCATGCTGGGGCTCAGGGCTGCGCTCATGGCCGTCATGCCCGCGCCCATGCCGTTCATGGCTCCGGTGCACGGGGACATGCTGGTCATGGAGGGACTCATGCCAGTGTTGACGTACGACATATTCATGGAGTTGGCCGTCATGTTGGCCGTGGTGCTCATGCCGGACATGCTCATGTAGGTGTTCATGGAGTTCATTCCCAGGCCTGTGTTCATGTTGCCAACCGAGGTGTAACACTGTGAGGAGGGGGAAGAAGCATCCATGAGTGGAAAAAAGAAATCATTCCTGCACACATCAGCCCGAACTTAAACACCAAAATAAATACATTAAATTATATTAAAAATAACTAAAATTATCTTTAAGGAAATGAGTATCTGACAAAAATATTAATTAGTAAAATAATATCGCTGTGGCGTAAAAGTGTCCCCAATAAGCTGCGCTCACCCAAACAGCGACAACCCGCTCCCCCTAAACCAAACACTACAGGTGTTTATTGAGTGTAACAAATGGTGGGTGTGTGTGTGGGGGGGAAATAAAACAATCTGATTTAATATCCGAGTGAAAAGTTCCCCCCACCCCCCCACTACATGTCAAGCAACTTTGTTAGGATAGCGCGCAGCGTGGAGATGGGGGAGGATTTGGAGGCGCCTCAAGTCAATATTTGATCACAAAGTTAATATTATCTCAGGGCTAATATTGAGTTGTATAAAATGGGATCGGCTTTAGACGGGGAAAAGAAATATATATTTAAGGTACCCACCTCGGGCTCTCCGTAGTAGGTGCTCCAGTCGGTGTGTTCGTGTCCTTCCATTTTAACTGCTCCAAGCATCATGGAGGACTTGGACAAAGCGTCTCCCAGCAGAGGAAAAGCCAAAAGTGTCTTTAATAGCAGGTGACTGGGGACCACTGGGCGGGCTCGGGTAGTCGGTGTGTCCCCTTCGTTGAGGACTGGTGCATGTGTGTCCTAACGGAGGCAGCCGTGATGCGCCTGTCAGTGACTGGAGTCCAAATGACGCGCCGCGCTGCTTGTTAACGCTGTGATATAGCTCTGTGCGCCAGGCAAGCCTCCAATCCCCACTTCTACGCCTTGGGCCCTATTTGAATAATCTCCTCGCACCTAGGCGTGAGACTCCTCAAGCTTCCCCCCCCACCCCACCCCCATCTCTCCTCCTCCCCCTCCTCCTCCACCTCCACCACCCCAATTGTACACCTGCGCTCCCTGAAAAGAACAGTTTCATATGAAAAGCGTCATTATAAACTAATCTTATTGTGGGGGGAGGGGGGGGGGGACTATACAAAAAAGGAATGTTTGGCACCTTCCAACGCGCATTACGCACATCCTCCAAAAAGTTTTTTTTTTCAACTTCAGCAAATCATAACCAGCTTTTATGGAATTTATCTATCTTTTTTTGTTTGTTTGTTTCTAATTGTTGAATATTTTCTAGAAGAAAGAGCATGAAGACATCAGATACATGTTGATGTATCAGGAAAAGACCTATACCGGGTTTATTATAGGGAAATTATTTATAAGTTAGACAACAAAAAGGGGCAGAAATGTTTCCTAATTTATATTTAAGTGTCCCATTCTTAAATGTTGCGTTATTATAGGGGATGATAAACACACAGCATGATAAGAGTCTGTGAAAATCTAATTATAAGTACGGCGCACAATGCTGTTGTTCAATATATTAGAAACAAAAACAAAAGCAAATAAGTACTTGAATATCTTTGGACTGCTTGTTTAGTGATATTATCCAAATCAATGGGCTATTTATTCAAATATTTTTTATGGAAACTTCCTCAAAATTCAAGATCTGAACCTCGTTATTTAACTTGAATTACAGTTTCTAATAATTTTTTTTATTAGTTTTTAATTTGCCATGACACAGCGTTAGAGCGCCCTCTGTCGGACAGCCCCTTCAACTGTCTCTAAATATTTCACACGAGGCTGTATCCTTTAACAATTTTAGCTCGATTTATTTTATTCTCATCATTTATAAGATGCAAAAAAAAACATGTTTTGTCTCCATTAAAACTAAAGCACAATCGCATCAAACTCCAAATATCTCTAATCTTATTGCATTTATAGAAAAGGACAAAAATAATTCTCTCATATTCTGACTGCACTTCCCGTTTTTGTTTATGTTGGTTTTTATTGTCTCGTTAAATACCAGGAGTTTACCCAGCGTGTTAATCTTCTGTCAAAAGGTTTGGAGAGGCCCGGAGTGTTAAAGGGCCCCTCTAATTCCCACACGAGCCGTACAGTATTTGTATGAAACAAACATCAAGGTGAGGCTGCAGAGCGCCGGCAGCCACGTGTCAGTGCTTGGACATCTATTTGACTGCATATTTACGCACGAGCATAACTATCAGTGTAGAGCCCCATTAGTAAAGGCGAGTAAACCTGTCGTGTTGACGAGAGACCAACAGAGTCTGCTTAACTTGGAAATGAGATCATGAGAAAAAAGCTCTTCGTGTTTGAGGATTTGGGATTGCGCCGACGGAGAGGATGGAGAGATGCGCAAAATTTGCGCGTCCTCCGCCTGGCTCAGGCAGCTTTAAGCTTTCAAAGTGGAATATTTATGGTGTTCTTTATTCGTAATAGTTTTTACATGGCATCTATGCAAGTTCATGAACAAATACTTGAAGCCTTATTATGGGCTGAGCATAAAAACTGTCTTTTTTTTTTTTTTTTTTTTTAAATAAAAAATTGCATTGAAATCCATGTAAATATGTCTTGTTACATAAATGAGCTTAAGGTCACTTATGTGCATGCATGGAATGCACGAAAGGGGGTTTCAAAATACTATATGGGGCATATTTTCTGCCAAAAAATTTAACTGACCTGAGTAAATGGTTCAAAAGTAAGAAAAAAAAAGTTCAAACGTCTAAACAAAAACAATTTTTGTAAATTAGTGACAATATTATTAAAAATATCCTATGACCTTTATACCTGCATGCTGCTAATTCTGTGGTTAATCATCAACCTGCTCCTCTCACAAAGGTGAAGGACAAATTTTGGATTTAGTCAAAAACAAAATCCCCGCATGACCTCCCTCTATCCGGCTGATTTCCATTTCTTCTCCTTTTTTTCCGTGTAATGCATGTTTGCTCATATATTAGTCTCCTCAGAGCAGTTACTGAACTGATGAACAAACTGAGCAAACATCTTTCTGGTTTGGAATCATTAGACAGTGTTTGTTACTGAGGTTGTGTTGTTAATGTCAGTTTTTCAGAAGCAAAAATGTATATTTATTTTTCCATTTTATGTTGGTTTCATTTAAATGAGGAAAAGCAGATGAGAAGAGGTGAAAATTGAAAATTAACATTGATGGCATCAATTAAAGATAAAAAGTGTAAAAGTTTGAATGCTCCTATCTTAATGATTAAATTCTAAATGTTTTGTCAAATTCTCTAAATTCAGATGTTCAGACTTGAAATGCAAGATAAGCCTGTTTTTAAATGCAAATACAAACTGACAACTTACTTTTTACTATAAAAACAATTGAAAGGCTAAACCAAAGTCATTTTTGTTTAATTCCAGCAAAAACTATCGTTTTTGGTTTGGCTTTAGAATAAGTTTTCCCAAATAAAATTTCCAAAATCCTTTTTATTTCATCATCATCTGAACTTCTTTTTTAATGAACACAGCAACCTGCCTAGAATAACATTTCAAATCGCTTAAGCTTGGAGTCATGTAAACAATCAAACTTCTGTTAGTTGATTTTATAACATTGAAGAAAAAACTAATACAGTAAATATTTTCAAAAACCTGTTGATTCTAGTGAAAATGATTGACAACCTGATTGCATCATGGTTTACGTTTGCTCTTCCATTGCATGTTGCAATAAAAACAGACTTTATTTGCACTAAAAGCTCCAGTTTCCATGATGTCCAATGTGCGTGATTTGCCATTTTATGATCAGTTAGTTTCCGTAATGATCAGTGTTACATTTTACGCATTAACATTTACTTTACTGGTCACGACAAAAGCAAGTTAACTGAGTTGGAGAAGTCGGAGCTCAACACCTACATGTGCAAGACCCTAAAATGACACTGAGGGGTTTTCTTGAGTTCAATGAAAGGAGGGGTGGTGGGGAGGTAAATAAGGTGATCTCCGTTCTGTGAGAGGAAGGCAGCTCTCTTTCTTCAAACACCCAGGAGTAGTTGGCAAGAATGTGTTAAAATTCAGTTTCGACTGAAAATAAAAGAGCCACTTAACTTTTACCTTTGTTTTCTTCTGAGTACCGTGTCACACAAAGCTGGATAGGGCAAGAGGTTAAGCATGTAATTCATCAAAATAAAATTAATAATGAGAAGGTCTCCCTCTTGGAAAGTGTTTGGGGAAAAAAAAAAAGAAGATGTTTACTGCCAACTTGCCTGTGGTGACAGTAAACATTCCAGAGCGAGGCTGGAGTTTGGACTTGCCATTATCTGCCACAGCTGTGACAACGCCTGTTGGCTGCAGGTTTGTGGTTGGCCACGCTGTGTTTACCTGGAAATGAATCTGAAAAGCGGCTGGACTGGGAAGGCACACAACCCGGCTAAATAAAACTGAGAGTGGTCATTGCATACAGGGGGCAGTGGGAGGTTGCCCAGTTATTGCAGTTGCCTTGGTGGGTCAGCATGCAAACACTGGCGTAAAGGCACTAAGGGTATCCTCAAACAGGCACCTTTTGATATTGAGAGGACTGTGTCGAGGAATGCCGTTTGATATGTTTCGTGTTGACTGTAACCAAGGCTTCTCAGATTCAATACGTGTCCCTTGTCATGGTAAAGATCCTTGTTGACCGCTGCCCTTCATCCGTCAGATGAGGTGACAGCTTGTCTATGAGACCACAGGAGTAGAATGAGAAAGGATGTGAGATATGAAACTGAAGAACGCATCTGGATTGGTATTATAGTTGTAAATATAAAATTAGAAACACATAAAACAGGTTTATGTTGTGAAATGCGCTGTTTGAAATTCAATGTTCACATTGTTTTCTTGTATTTTGTAAATTTATTGCGCAGACTTTGCGCTGTTTTATTTATTTTCTTTGCCAGTCATATATCAAAATGTTCAGCTCATCCAGATGTTAGGTGCTTTTTTAATTTATTTTTTTGTAAATTCCAAATCTATCACAATATTTAACAAAAAATACAATTTTTTTCCCGTAACCTGAGAGCTCTTCGATGCTCCTAAAAACATTTTCTTTATCATTTGCTTCAGCGTAATAATTTGTTTTTACCTTCTTATGTTACTTTTAGTTTTTAGCTACATTTTGGCTACTTTTAACATTAAGTTTTCTACTTTTAGCTTGATACTTTTAACTTTTATTTCTGATTTTAGCATCTTAGCTACCATTTTTCCAGTTTTAACTATAGGCTTTTATTGGTTTTAACTTTTAGTAAATATTTTTTCTATTTTTAGGTTTAACAACTCAGTTATAGCTTCTGCAAATGACAGATTTCGATAGCCATAGTCTCCTGCATCGCCGAAAGATAATATCTTTGGATTTTGATCGTTTTTTCTAAATATTGGCTTCATACCTGTTGCCTGGTCCTCCCACCATATAAGCGAACATTTATGAATCATCATCATTGATAACTGCAGTATTGACAGTAAACTTGATAAGCAGAGCATGAATTCATACAATCTGATTTTAGTAAAGCACCTGGAAGCATGAATTTACTCGTTTTAAAGCACACATTGAAATTGATGCTCAGTTTGACCCACAATTTTAATTTATTCTACATTTAAAAAGTCTGAATTAATTCTTTCCAGATTTTAAAGTCAATTTTCTTTATTTGTCATTCGCACCACATGTGGCACATGTGGTGGAACAACATTGTATACACAGGGTCCCAGTTACATCCAACAACAGTATAAATTGTAAAGAAAAGTAATAAGATCTAAGACATGCATTAAGAAATACGTTAATTTAAAAATACGCTAAGCACT